TCCAAAGATGGGGCACTTTGACTGGCACTGGTTTCGGCTCGACGGGCGCACGAGTGGCTTCCGACAAGTCGAGCGGAGGCCAGAGAGGCAGCACACGGGCAGCCAAAACAAAAACCTTGCGAACGACCGACAAGCATTTATCAAACCACTCTTGCTGCTCAGGGCTCGGCTTCTCGTGAGCTAGGGCCCCAAGCTTAGCATAATGGTCGGCGAGGTCGTTCCCCGTCTTACAGAACTTCAGATAGGCATCATTACCCACCTGCTCGTCCGACGTGTGGCCTTTCACTTTATGGATGGGCCCCATTTGACTGTCTACGGTCCAAGCAAACATACCCGAGTGCACTCGCTTATACGACAAGTGTTCACTACGAGGGAGGGCCCACAGAGATACTACATTCTGGCAATCGCTATACCCCACAGCTGGAGAGACAACATTTTGGCAAGCAGCAGTGCAAGCAGCAAATTCACCAGCCTGAGCCGTTTGGGGAATGGGGTAGGGGAGGGGGGCATAGACATGACCCAGCTCCTGCCCAGAATCGGACACCGAGACATAACTCCACCCCGTCCTCGGTAATTCTCTTATGACCGAGCGTATACAAGAACCATCCATGAAGATATTCTCCGAAACTCTATAATCGTCTTTATCAGGATCGTCAAAATGCTCATAACTGGGCTCGCACATCGATGGGGGTGGGAAGATATCACCAGGGTGGGTAAACAGCCCCATCGTGTACATTATCTTGTCAGCATCCGACAGCGAGTCGTACTCCAGCGGCCGAAACTGGAACCCTTCTCCGAGGATGTCCTCTCGGGCCTGGGCGACCGGCTCGTGCTGGCAGCACCACAACCTGTGGAAAATGGTGTCCCTTGCCGCGCCGCACAACGGGCACAACGCGTCAGGCATGATGTAGCCGTGGTCCTCGGCTCGAGCCTTGGTCCAGGGCGCCTGGCAGACAAGACCTCTAATGCACCCTTTCTCGAAGGGGGTGAATTTTGAAGAATTCATGGCCGCAAGGGCCACGTCGAAACAGACTCTACGGTCCAGGCCCAGGGACCGCCCATAATCCCGTTCAAGATTCCTCAAAACAGCAGCACGGAGGAGACGTTTCAGGAGGCAAGGCGAAACCAGGGTAAGGGAAACTTCCACCCCCAGGTCGTCGACGAGCATGCTGAAGCTCGGCATCTTCCACCCAAGACGCTCCACCGAGAGACGAAGGGCCCCCACAGGGCCGCGAACGCGACGCCACGGCTGGAGAGGCCCCGAGAAACCCACAGCCCAGGCACCGCGGAGCTCGGCCAAGTTGAGGCCGAACTGGTAGGCCCCCACCAGGCAGGCCCAGATCTCTTTAGACCACTTCACAATGGGCGCGACGGACGCGTACCAGGTGGGGTCGGCGGCAAACAGCAGAGCTGCCGTGAGAGATCTACCTCCAGCGGAGGGCTGCAAGAAACGACCCATGGCTCTCCGAAGGGTGAAAAGCTCATGGTCCGAGGTGCCGTGCACCGAGGATAGGAGGATAGGAGCATATGAGGATAGGAGGATAGGAGGACAGGAGGTGGATATGAGGAGGATAGGAGGAGGATAGGAGGAGGATAGGATGAGGATAGGAGGAGGACATGAGGAGGATATGAGGAGGATATGAGGAGGATAGGAGGAGGATAGGAGGAGGATAGGAGGAGGATAGGCGGAGGACAGGAGGAGGATAGTAGGAGGATAGGAGGAGGATAGGAGGAGGACAGGATGAGGAGAGGAGGAGGATATGAGGAGGATATGAGGAATATACGAGGAGGATCGGAGGAGGATATGAGGAGGATATTAGGAGCATATGAGGAAGATATGAGGAGGATATGATGAGGATAGGATGGGGATCGGAGGATGAGGAGAGGAGGAGGAGGAGGAGGAGGAGGAGGAGGAGGAGGAGGAGGAGGAGGAGGAGGAGGAGGAAGAGGAGGAGGAGGAGGAGGAGGAGGAGGAGGGAGGAGGAGGAGGAGGAAGAGGAGGAGGAGGAGGGAGGAGGAGGAGGATGAGGAGGAAGAGGAGGAAGAGGAGGAGGGGGAGGAGGCGGATGATGATGATGATGAGAGGAGGAGGAGGAGGAGGAGGAGGAAGAGGATGAGGACGAGGCGGATAGGAGGATAGGTGGATAGGTGGATCGGAGGATAGGAGGATAAGAGGCTATGAGGATAGGAAGAATGGAGGATAGGAGGATCGGGTGATAGGATGATAGGAGGATCGGAGGATAGGAGGATAGGAGGATAGGAGGAGGAGGAGGAGGAGTAGGAGGAGGAGGAGGAGGAGGAGGAGGAGGATGCGGAGGAAGAGGAGGAGGAGGAGAGGAGGAGGAGGAGGAGGAAGAGGAGGATGAGGAGGCGGAGGATGAGGATGAGGAGGAGGAGGATGAGGAGGAGGAGGAGGAGGAGGCGGATATGAGGATCGGAGGATAGGAGGATATGAGGATATGAGGATATGAGGATAGGCGGATAGGAGGATAGGAGGATATGAGGATATGACGATAGGAGGATATGAGGATAGGAGGATATGAGTATATGATGATAGAAGGATAGGAGGGTACGAGGATATGTGGATAGGAGCATAAGAGGATAGGAAGCTATGATGATATGATGATATGAGGACAGGAGGATAGGATGATAGGAGGATAGGGGGATTTGATGTTAGGAGGATAGGAGGGTATGAGGATATGAGGATATGATGATATGAGGATAGGAGGATAGGAGGATAATATGATAGGAGGATAGGAGGATATGAGGATAGGAGGATGACGATAGGAGGAGGAGGAGCTGGAGGAGGAGGAGGAGGAGGAGGAGGAGGAGGAGGAGGAGGATAGGAGGATAGGAGGATGGGAGGATAGGAGGATAGGAGGATAGGAGGATAGGAGGATAGGAGGATAGGAGGATAGGATGATATGAGGATAGGCGGACAGGCGGATAGGAGGACAGGAGGGTAGGAGGATAGGAGGATAGGAAGATAGGAGGATAGGAGGATATGAGGATAGGAGGATAGGAAGATAGGAGGATCGGAGGATATGAGGATCGGAGGATCGGAGGATAGGAGGATAGGAGGATAGGAGGATAGGAGGATAGGAGGATAGGAGGCTAGGAGGCTAGGAGGATAGGACGATAGGAGGATAGGAGGATAGGAGGACATGAGGATAGGAGGATAGGAGGATGTGAGGATCGGAGGAGGACGATAGGAGGAGGAGGATGAGGAGGATGAGGAGGAGGAGGAGGAGGAGGAAGGAGGAGGAGGAGGAGGATGGGAGGATAGGAGGATAGGAGGATAGGAGGAGGATAGGAGATAGGAGGATAGGAGGATAGGAGGATAGGAGGATAGGAGGGATAAGGAGGATATGAGGATAGCAGGATAGGAGGATAGGAGGATGAGGAGGAGAGGAGAGGATGAGGAGAGGAGGAGGATGATGAGGAGGAGGAGGAGGGTGGGGAGGAGGCGGAGGAGGGGGAGGCGGGGGAGGAGGGAGGAGGAGGAGAGGAGGAAGGAGGAGGCGGAGGAGGAGGAGGAGGAGGAGGAAGAGGAGGAGGAGGGTGTGGTCTGCAATCGACGCTGTCCTCGTTCGAGGTTCCCGCCCGCTCCCCAGGGTGACCCCCAGGGTGCCCCCCCCAGTGTGCCAGTTGCAAGTCGCACCCTCAGCAGACCGCAGCCTCTGGAGTCGCCGACAGAGAAGCACTCAGCATCTCCCGTTTTCTGTCGTTGCTTTGTGTTTGTTTGGCCCAAGGTGCTGGAGTGATCGGCATCGCCTGTTTGTCTTTTTTGGGGGGGAGGGGGGAGGGGGGCGGCGTTCGGGCAGGCCCTTGGGAACCTCCAGGAGGGTCTGTTCTGGTTATGTGTGTGTGTGTGTGTGTGCAGTGGGGGCCCATGCAAAGAAACACCCTGCTCGCCTCCAGGGTGCCCTGGGTTTCTTGGGTTTCGATGGTTTTGCTGTGGAAGGCGTGACTTTCCCACGCCAAATACCGACGGACGTCCTGGGATCTCAGGGTTGGGCTTCCCGTGGAAGGTTTCTTGTGGACTGGCCTCCACTGTATGTGTGTTCTGCCCCCTGCCCCAGTGGGGCAGCTGGCCCACGGAGCCAGACGGGCCTGGACCTGCACTACGTAGACGCCAGGCTTCAGGCGCTGCCAGTGTACCTGCTGCCGTCCAGCTGCCGCGCCTTCGGCACGGTTGCCCTGCACTGCATCGTCGACAGACCAGACCCGAAGAACAGCAAACTACACAAACAGTACCCTTTCGGGGAAACGTAAGACTCGAGTAAGCCGGAACTGAGGTTCGCCGAAGTCTTGTTTGGCGAGCGCGTGCTGGATTTTGGCGGTCCGCTTTTCGTGGGATGTCTGTTGGGGGGGGAGCTCGCGTCAGAGTTCAGATTGGGTCTCCTCGTTTTCATTGATGGCCCCGTCAGGCCAGCCCGAGTCCCCCGAACCCGAGTCTTACGTCTCCCCGACCCTTCGGTGATGGGCCTGCTTTCCACCACCACCACCACAAGTTGGAGGGGGAGGGGGTCCTCCTCCTCCTCCTCGTCCTCCTCCTCCTCCTCCTCGTCCTCCTCCTCCTCGTCCTCCACCTCCTCGTCCTCCACCTCCTTCCCCCCTCCAACTTCTGGTGTGTGTGTGTGGTGGAAAACAGGCCCATCATTCGGAGATCCGCGTGGATTGATCCGCGGGCTCGGCGCTGGACCCCCCCCCGCCCTGGCACGCGAAACAGCGCGCCCAGGGGGGGGGTCCATCGCCCGCCCATGACCTCCGCGCGGGCCTCCAGAGATTCATCTTGGTGTTTGTTTGGTTTTGTTCTTCTGCGGACAAGGCTCCGGAGGACAGAAAGACACAGACACAATTCATCGCCGAATCCCAGGAGGGTGTGGGAACATGTTGGAAGTGTGTGGGGGGGAGACGATAGTCGAGCACATGGGGAAGCACGGGTGGGTCCTGGGATTTGTGTCTATTGATTTGTGTGTCCCTGGGCACCTCCGAAGGTTCTCACCTTCGACGATTTCCTCGGCCGCTTCCCCATCTTTCCCTTGCAGGTCTCCACTGTGCGCCTCGCGCTCGGTGTCGAGCGCCCCTGGCGGCACACTGCCGAGGAGATCGCCCGGGCGCTGCGCGCAAAGTTCCCCGGGGTGGACGTGGCGCAGCTGGAGCTCTCGCTCCACTCTGGCGGCTCCAGGAACTCGGGCCCCCTAAATGCGGGGGAAGCGTATAAGACTCGAGTATGCCGGAACTCGGATCTGCCGACGCTCTTTTTTTCATGGGCCCGTCTCGGATTTGGACGGTCCAGTCTTCGTGGGATGCTTGCAGCGGGAGTTCGCGTCCAATCTCAGGCTGGGTCTCGTCATCTTCCTGACGGCCCCGACCAGGCCAACCCGAGTCCCCCGAGCCCGAGCCTTGCGTCTCCCCGACGATGGGGTCCAGGTGTAGCTGGGGTCGGCGGATCGCGCCCTGTCGCCGATGCATCGGCGATAGAGCGCGATGTGGAGCCTGCTTTTCTCTACGCCGACGTCGCCGATGTATCGCCGACGTTACGATGCTACAACCTACTTTAGCCTTGACCGCCAGAATTTCGAGCACCAAGAAAGTGCCACAACTCGAGGGCTTTCGCGTGTCGGGCTCTGGCAGGCCTCATTCGACACTGTTTCGGTAAGTTTCTGGGTGCTCGAAATTCTTTTGGGGATGCGGTCTTTAAGTTCGATGGGAGCAACATGACGCCGACGCTGACGATGCATCGCCGATGCGGCGCAATCTTCCGACGCCAGTGTGGAACTCTCGCTCCACTGGCGCCTCCAGGAAGTCGAGGAGGAAGCACTTGCATGAGCATGAACTTTCTGAACTCCGCGCGGACCTCCTGCATCGTCGCTTGGGCCCCTCTGGCGGCGCCTCGGGCGCAGTCTCTGGCGCGCTCCGCGCGCCAGGGAGGGGGGCCCAGCGCCAATCCAATAAGCCCGCTCAGACCGCCAGATGTGTACGGCTGTGCCTTGCTCTGTTCTCCTAGGAAGGGCGTCGACGTGAGCGACGCTCCCTTCGTCGACCTGGTCTCCTGCCTGGCTGCTCTCGGCGTGCGGACGGACGTCACCACGATAGCCTGCAGGGACAACCAGTTCGAGTTCTTCCGCGTTGCGCTGGAGCAGGCCGGCGCTGGCGTGCACGGCATGGACGAGCTGCGCCCGGTGCGTCGCGCCATGAACTGGTCTGAGACCCCCGGGGGGCTTCCCCCCGGGACCCGCTCTTCGTCCGGGTCCGTTTTTGACGGTCCTGGCCAGGTTCGTGGGTCTCTCGTGCTGTGCTCAGAGAGAGTGCTCAGACTGTTCGGGCGGGACGGGCGGGCGGGACAAGACAGCAGGCGGGCGGGCTTCTCAAGCAACCGAACGGGCGGGCCCGAGCGGGCGGGTCGGCGGGCGGGACGGAAAGCGGGCGGGTCGGGGTCGGGGTCGGGTGGACCCTGACGGGCGGAGCGGGCGGACGAGCCCCAACGGGCGGGTCGGGGGTATGAGTCGTAGTAGGCAGCTCTTTCTGTGAGTCGTAGGAGGGAGCTCCTACTATGAGTCGCAGGCCCGACGATAGAGCCAGGGGGGCATGTACACCGCAATCCTGGGTCCAGGGTGGGCCCAGCGATGATACCTGGTGATGTTGTCAGTGGACGCCGCCCGAGAGGTGCGGCCCTTCTCCCACCCGAGGTGCTCCGGGCCTCTCAAACGACTCGGGGGCGGCAAAGAGGGGGTGATGACTGGGGTTAAGTCGGGCACGTCCCTCTACAGGAGGTCTGTGCAGAAAAAAGAGAGTAAAAATAGTCAGGGGACGAGTTTTCGAATAGTTTTTTTTTGTTTGCTCATTTATGTTTTTTTTGACTATTCTTCATTTTTCGTCCAAAATCCGCCTGTAGGGGGACATGCCCGACCTAAGACTAGGGGGAGGGGTGGATATGATGGCGGGGGCCATGAGATCTTCCCAGATTTCACGGCGACTCCTCTTATTTCAATACGTCCCCGGCCCCCCGCTGGGCCGCGGACATGCCGCCGGCCACGAATTGCGCCCGCCCCCGACAAATGGGGCCAGACCAGATGGGGTCAGAGGATCGCGCCGCATCGATGCGGCTCGATCTGGAATCCGATTCTGCCCGTTCTGGCGCCGCCAGTGCATCGATGATGCGTTGCCGATGCGGCGCGATCCTCCGACCCCATATGCTCGAGCCCCAGATGTCAGAGGAGGAGCAGAGGTCCCATCGGGGGGGACCCACTCCTGGGCTGTGGCACGCCTCAGCGTCGTCTGGCACTGGGTGACGCTCGGGCGTGCCACAGCCCAGGGGTCGGCCCCCTCCCCCCCGATTGGCCCTCGGTGGCGGTGGTTTCTGCTTCTGTTGTAAATTCGGGACCCAGATCTCCGACGTCGTAATGTGTCGTCGCAACGTGGAGCTCCAGAGGTCTGGACCTTTTCCCTGGGATCGGTTTTCCATCTCGAGACGTTTTTTGACGGTCCCAGGGCCTGGTGAGTGCCCCCAGGGGCCGGAAGCGGGCGTTGCGCAACGGGGGGCCGATAACAGGAGGTGGAGGTGAAGAAAGGTGCACCTTTTGTGTTCTAAAGGGGCCCGACAGGGGCCCCCTGGGGCCCAAAATGGGCACGACAGGTGCACGTCTTTCTCAACCATCCCACTTCTCGCCTCTCCCCCGTTCAGCAGCGACTCCCAGCGAAGATGGCCCCCCCAAAAACCTTCCACTGTGATCTTCTCGCGAGGCGGTCTGGGCAGGCCTCCACCCTGAGATACGACGTCGCGCATATTTCTGCGTCATTTTTCGAGCCTGATCGATCTGTGAGGGTCCGGGGCCCAGCATGGAGCGAAAACGCCCGGCTCGAAAGAATTGCAACGCAGGAGTCTCAGGGCAGGTACGAGCCGCCGGCAGCGCCGCCTGCGCCGCAGCCGCCCTGCGCCGGCAGCGGCGCAGGGTAGCGCGCGCCCGCGCCCGTGCCGAGGGCCAGCCTCGCCCGAAGAGCGTGCGGGAAAGTGGCGCCGGACTCTCTCGCTTTCCGCGCGTGTTCGCTGCAAGCCGCCCGCCTGTCTAGCGATCCCAACCTCCTTCCCCTCCTCCTCCTCCTCCTCCTCCTCCTCCTTCTCCTCTCCCGCCTCCTCCTCCTCCTCCTCCTCCTCCTCCTCCTCCTCCTCCTCCTCCTCCCTCCCCCCCTCCTCCTCCCTCTCCTCCTCCTCCTCCACCTCCTCCTCTTCCTCTTCCTCCTCCTCCTTCATCATCCTCCTCCCCTCCCCCTCCTCCTCTCCACAATTACTCAATATGAATACTACTCTCCCTCTTCCCCTGATGACGTGCTGGGAGTGTTCGACCCCCCCCGCGTACTGTTTTTTACACACAGGATTCCCGGGAGTTGGGTTTTCGCTTGCATTTTTTTCAAAATGCTGCTCTCGCTGAGGCGCCGGCCTCATTTTCGGGCCCCGCTCGTTCCGAATCGTGCTCCCGCTGCAGCGCTGGCCTCATTTCCGTGCTTCCGCTCGTTCCGAATCGTGCTCCCGCTGCAGCGCTGGCCTCATTTCCGCGCTTCCGCTCGTTTCGACTCGTGCTCCCGCTGCAGCGCTGGCGTCATTTCCCGTGCCATGCCACGGCATGCAATGCAATGCTAGGTTGATACTACGCTTTGCGGTGCTCTTCTACGCCATGCCATGCCGTGCTCTACAATGCATCGCGTACCCTTTCGGGATCATTGCCCTGCTCGACATCCGACTGTGCGAGTAGAGAGGGGATCTACGCCATGGTAAGGGATGGGAGGGAGGGGTAGGATGTCAGATATGACGCGAGCGCACCTAGCTTGTCCTCCCCCCTCCCTCCCTCCCTCCCTCCCTCCCTCCCTACCGTCGAGCTGGTGCTATGGTTATTGCTCATGCACCGACAGCAGGTTTCGGGATCTCCCCCTCAAGCCTGGGACACGCAGCTCACGCATTGAACGAGCTTGCAGATACCCCAGCACAGATGCGTCATGGGACTTGTGCGACAGCCCAGGTGACTTTCACGGGTGGTCAGTATTACTAGGTGCCGCCACCCGCACGTTCTTGTTTCAGGAGGTCTTGGAGGTGGTTTTAGGATGGGGGTTATCAGGAGGTGATGATCGAGGAGCGGAGCGGCGCGGCAGTGTAGCAGCGAGCGCGCGGCCGCCCCGCTGCCACCCGCCGCCGCCCCGCGGCGGGAGCTTTCGGGTCCGAGGTCCGAGGTTTTTCGGACGTCTTCGTCGGCTCTCGGCGGTCTTCCAGCCCCAGGATGCGTTCCAGCGGCTGCGCCTCGCCGCGGGCGTTCCGGGGGTGCTGGGATCGTCCCGAACGGCCGTCGGAGACCGGAGTAATAGCCCGAAAACCAATCTCGGCGGTGCATCGACGGGGGGGGAAGTGAGAAGGATCAGGTTTTCTCAGAAGGCGGCGGGACTTCTCAGAAGCCCTCGCGCCTTCTGAGCAGCTGTTGGTGTCTTCGGGGAAGGCTTAGAAAACTTCGCAGGAGGCCCGGGGACTTCCGAGCCTTCCGAGAAGGCCCGCCCCTTCTCGTTTCCCCCCCTCGCTCGCTGGCTAGAGTGGGGTGGCGTGGGGGAAGGGGTGGAGGGTGGAGGGAAGGAGGCAGATGGGGGGGATGGACGGGGGTGAGGATGGATCTTCCTCGATGATCCTTTGGACGTATCTTAACCCAACGTGTGCTCACTCCGTTCCAGCTCCACAGATAGCACGCAGCCTGTGGGCCGGCCCTCATTACTTTGCCTGCCTCGCATGGGGTGGCCTCGGTGGGCAAGCACACGGCTGCGCCGACTTGCGCCCCTCGAAGGAGAAGACCAAACACCATAACAGACGCAATCTTTCCATAATCACCGAAGGGTTTTGGTGGACAAGCACGCGCTGGCGCTGATACAGTCGCTCCGATTGGGTCGGGCGAACGGGGGGACAGGGAAGGGGTGCTGCACGGAACACTTCGCTAACTCCTTCTGTTGCTATCCCCTCCTTCGTCCGACCCGACGTCGCAAGGCTGGGGCAGAATGGGAAGCCACGCTGTGAAACGAACACGAGGCCAGATGCCAGATGGTTGGGTACCTGCCGCTCCTCGCATCGAGAATTGCCAGCGTCGCACACGCCTGCGCCCCCCAAGGACTTGTTTCGAGGAGTTCTTGCGCCTTTCGTTCGCTCCCGCTGGATCTGGCAGGGTCCTGGTCCGATGCTTGCATGGGCTCTGTGGTGCATCCTTGCGCGGTCGATCCGATTCGATTCCGACTCCGTGCCGACGCGGCCGATCCGACGCACATTCCGATTCAATCCGATCTTCCGATTCGAGGCTGACTGATTCTGCTCCCTCGTCCGACCCGATCTGAGGATCTCCTGCGCTCCTCCCCCGCTCATATCGGGGCGGGATCGGCTGGGGAGGAGGAAGAGCAGCAGGAGGAGGGAGGTTGTGAAGGAGGAGGGGGAGGAGGAGGAGGGGGAGGAGGCAGAGGAGGAGGAGGGGGAGGAGGAGGAGGAGGAGGAGGAGGAGGAGGAGGAGGAGGAGGAGGAGGAGGAGGAGGAGGAGGAGGAGGGGGAGGAGGAGGAGGAGACGAGGAGGAGGAGGATGAAGAGAAGGGGGATGATGAGGCGGAGGAGGAGAGGAGGAGGAGGGGGAGGGAGCGAGGAGGAGGAGGAGGAGGAGGAGGAGGGGAGGAGAGGAGAGGAGGAGGAGGAGGAGGAGGAGGAGGGAGGAGGAGGGGGAGCAGCGGAGGAGGGGAGGAGGGAGGTGGAAGAGGAGGAGGAGGAGGAGGAGGAGGAGGAGGAGGCGGAGGAGGAGGGGGAGGAGGGAGGAGGAGGAGGAGGAGGAGGAGGAGGAGGACAGGAGGAGGAGGAGGAGGAGGAGGAGGAGGAGGGGAGGAGGAGGAGGGGGAGGGAGGAGGAGGAGGAGGAGGAGGGGAGGAGGAGGAGGAGGAGGGAGGAGGAGGGAGGAGTAGGAGGAGGAGGGGGAGGAGGAGGAGGAGGAGGAGGCGGAGGAGGAGGAGGGAGGAGGAGGAGAGGAGGAGGAGGAGGAGGAGGAGGGGGGGGGGGAGCAGCGGGAGGAGGGGGAGGAGGAGGTGGAAGAGGAGGAGGAGGATGAAGGAGGAGAACGAGGAGGAGGATGAGGAGAAGGGAGGGGAGGGGGAGGTGGAGGAGGGGGAGGGAGGAGGGGAAGGAGCGGGAGGAGGCGGAGCAGTACCAGTGTAAACCCAGTGAACGATGTTGCAGTACATCCTCCCTCCAAGTTCAATTCTCACAGGTCTCTGCAATGATTTATTTTCAATGCGGGAAGTGCCCCGTTGGAAGACAACCGTCTGAAAATCCGGAACCGTGCCAACACAACATTCCTGGTATTTCAGCGCCGCGAATCAACGTTACCATTGCGTGCTGACGATACTCAATCGTGTCAGAACACCGTTCCTGGGACTTCAACACCGCGCATCAACGTGGCTGTTGCGCTCTGACAGTCCTGCATCGTGCCAAAGCACCATTTCTGGAACGTCAGCCATGATAATCCTTGAAACTGTTATAGGCCCTTAGGACGAATGTGTGCCGCTCTACGGCGAGAGCCACACTTTGGAACAGGTATTGCCATCCACCCGCAACTTTCTTGCACACTTTTAATCCGAATGTGCGCGGCGCTAAGGCGAGAGCCATATTTTGAAGACGTACAGTCCTTCATCCGTGAAGCCCATGCAAACTTGTTAGACCAATGAGCGCCACATTTTGAAAACCACTCGCCCTCCATCCGTGAAGCTCTTGCGAACTTGAAAGTGCGCGGCGCTAGGGCGATGCCCACATTTCGAAAACGACCTGCCGCCCTCCATCCGTGAAGGTCTTGCAAACTTTTAAAGCGAATGTGCGCGGTGCGAAGGCGAGGGCCACACTTTGAAAACGACGCGCCCTCCGTCCGTGACGCTGTTGCATTTTCGAGCTTGCGGATTATTGATGGTGAGGAAGTCTCAGGCGAAACGCCGTTCCCGCCGTACTGACATGTCTCGCGGTACGTCAGGGAGGAGTTTTCCATGGGGAAGGGATGGATGAGGAGGAGCAGGAGGGGAACAATAATAATAACGATAATAAGAAGACGCATCATAACACCAATACTAATCATGCTACAGAGCAGACTACTATTACTTATCTGAATATTGAATGAAATTAAGAGAACGAGCAGTAAGACTAATTAGACGAAGACGAATCATATCGCGACTTATAATTCTGATACATATATATATGTGTGTATATATATATTATCGAAGACGGATATTAATACTGAGGCTCATCATAGTATGACGAGTCGTAGTAGTAATAATACTATGACGAAGACTACTAATGATCATACTCATGCAACTAACCATACACATACCACTCACATAATACTGATGCTAGTCATACTAATACTACAAAGGTTATGCCCTTCGAATTATTCGTCGTATATTCGTAGTATCAGTAGGATTGCTGTTATTCTAACTCATGTATTCGTGTTCGTATCATGAACCGTGCTACTGATACCAGTCATATGGATAATACGACTCACACTTCGCATACGAATAAGACTACAAATTGTATGGTTAGCATTCATCAGAATAGTCATAGTAAGAATAAGAAGAAGGGGAGGAGCTCCCGCGCTCCCAGCTCCCAGCTCCCAGCTTCCGCGCTCGCGGGCTCCCCGCTCCCAGCTCCTAGCCGACCAGGAGGCAGGGCTCCCAGCTCCCGCGCCCGCGGCGTGCGCCGCGGGGCGCCGCGCACGCTGCCCCCCCCCCCCCCCCCAGCGGCCCGCGCCGCGGCCCGCGGCGGTAGAGCGGGTCGTCGTCAGGCAGGCGCGGGTTCGGGATAAGTCGCTCCAGCGCGTTCGCTCCCGAAGCGTTCCGCAACGCTTCGGAACGGCGGCGGCGCCCGATGCGCCCTCCAGAGCCGCCGGATTTTAGAGATCCCCGTCCTGGCTTGGTCTT